GATTCATTCTTCATAATTGCCCATCTCCATCGATTATTTTGATTACGTAATGCCAATGTTGGTTTAAACCATTTGCAATTTTTTCTTTGATGTAATATTTTTTTGTAACATTAACATCTACAGATTGCCGATAATCAAATAATATTTCTGATGGTTCTTTTGTTCAGCGATTAACACTGAGGATGAATAGAAAATTGTATAAATATATATTTAACAAAAATCAGAATTTAACGAGTTCTATGATTGTTGAATAGCTCAGTCAGTAGCATGCCTAATTCACAGGCCAGAATTATTCGGTTCCATAATTAATGCCATCACGCCGTTTCGGTTTGAGATTGAGTTCTGGGACACCCTGCAAATAACAGTAACCTGGATTTAACGAGCTCTTGTCCTATCATCTTCAACGACCCAATTTGGTTATCCAATTTATTGCGTTGACGAAAGTTCTGGGATACCCTGCAAATAACAGCAACCTGGACATAACGAGCTCTTGCCCTATCATCTTAAATGACCCAAGATGGTTATCCTATTGCGTTGACGTTGAGTTCTGGGACACTCTGCAAATAACAGCAACCTGGATATAACAAGCTCTTGTCCTATCATCTTAAACGACCCAATTTGGTTATCCTATTGCGTTGACGTTGAGTTCTGGGAAACCCTGCAAATAACAGCAACCTGGACATAACGAGCTCTACCCTATCATCTTAAACGACCCAATTTGGTTATCCTATTTATTGCGTTGACGTTGAGTTCTGGGATACCCTGCAAATATCAGCAATCTAGACTTTTAACAAGTTCTTGTCCTATCATCTTAAATGACCCAAGATGGTTATCCTATTTATTGCGTTGACGTTGAGTTCTGGGATACCCTGCAAATATCAGCAACCTGGACTTTTAATAAGCTCTTGTCCTATCATTTTAAATGACCCAAGATGGTTATTCTATTTATTGCGTTGACGTTGAGTTCTGGGATACCCTGCAAATATCAGCAATCTGGACTTTTAACAAGCTCTTGTCCTATCATCTTAAATGACCCAAGATGGTTATCCAATTTATTGTGTTGACGTTGAGTTCTGGGATACCCTGCAAATATCAGCAACCTGGACTTAACGAGCTCTTGTCCTATCATTATAAACGACCCAACATGGTTATCCTATTGCGTTGACGTTGAGTTCTGGGATACCCTGCAAATATCAGCAACCTGGACTTAACGAGCTCTTGTCCTATCATCTTAAACGACCCAAGATGGTTATCCTATTGCGTTGACGTTGAGTTCTGGGATACCCTGCAAATATCAGCAACCTGGACATAACGAGCTCTTGCCCTATCATCTTAAACGACCCAATTTGGTTATCCAATTTATTGCGTTGACTTTGAGTTCTGGGACACTCTGCAAATAACAGCAACCTGGATATAACGAGCTCTTGTCCTATCATCTTAAACGACCCAATTTGGTTATCCAAATTATTGCGTTGACGTTGAGTTCTGGGATACCCTGCAAATAGCAGCAACCTGGACTTTTAACAAGCTCTTGTCCTATCATCTCAAATGACCCAAGATGGTTATCCTATTTATTGCGTTGACGTTGTGTTCTGGGATACCCTGCAAATATCAGCAATCTGGACTTTTAACAAGCTCTTGTCCTATCATCTTAAATGACCCAAGATGGTTATCCTATTTATTGCGTTGACGTTGAGTTCTGGGATACCCTGCAAATATCAGCAGCCTGGACTTTTAACAAGCTCTTGTCCTATCATCTTACCCAAGATGGTTATCCTCTCTAAATTTTTGTAATTCTGATTAATTCATATTGATCATCAATTGACAATGGATGATAAGTAGGGACTGTTTCCACTAAGAAACATATTGCCATTTTTGTTTCCAAACGAAAATCGATATCACTCAAACTTCTGATTCGAAGCTCATGAATAATACTCGTAATTCATTTTATTGCGTTACAAATTGTTTTGATACCCTAGAATCTCTCAACGACAAACAACAAAGGAATTTTCTCGCCCATGTTTTTGCAATGACGACACCATCAGACGACTACTCTTTTTAACTAACAATGGTCGACGACGACGACGAGAATTCTGCATTTGGTGAATGGTGAATGGATAATGGATAAGTTTATGTACAGGAGGAGGAATGGGTGTCTCGAATGCATATTATAATTCGCATCTAATTTCAACTATTGTTATTATTTCTCTATTTCACATTGTGCACAGAGAACATAAGTCAGATGAATGGAGATTTGCAACAGGAAGAATGGAATATTTGTTAAGGCTGAAATGGAATCAATAAACTGCACTTAGTCTGATAAATAGACTTATGCAGAATCTTGTGAAATATTTAAAATTTCGCAAAGAAGCCGAATTTCTATTATTGTTTGTTTATATTAATCTTAGGGGTTATTACTCATTAATCACGTGATCCATTTTTAACTCAACCTAGGGTAAATTATAGTGAACGGAAAAAAATCTAAAATGAAAATTTTTGCATACCTTTACGTTTCAGAGGTTTCTGAACTTTTTGGCATACCTCACAAAAAATGTGTGTGTGTATGTGTGTTTGGATACAATTTTTCGTCCACGATTTCGTGAACACGTATCGACCGATTTCAATTATTCAATAAACATTCGATTCTCCTTAATCTCCTTTGAGCCTCACAAGGTTAATGGATGACCCTCATTTAAACAATTAGAAATTTGATTCCACATATATGTTCTCATAATATTTTGTCTTTAAAAATGCTATCTAAATTACCTATTTGCTTTGAGATTACTAACGGTGGGTATTATCAAATTCGCTGGAATTCTTTGCAGCAAATATTTAAGATGAATCATTATGGCGAATTCTTGGGATTGTTAAATTGCAGATGAAATTTTATAAGAGTCATACTTTTTTATCATCCATATTATGGATATATTGAAATATGCCAAGAAAAAAATGAATAAAATTATTCAACTATATTTGAGAATCAAACACAGACTGGTGCAATAAGTTGTTCAATATTTTGGTGCAAGAAATTGTTAAATATTCCTGTTCCTCATATATTTTTTTTAAGTTATCTAGATTTACCTTCGTAATTTTTTTCGATATCTGTATTTAGGTATTTTAATTGTTGTTTTATCACCTAAACGCATATTGTAATCAAGACGACAGTTCTCATAGCGATAAAAAACTTCATTTAAAAATACTCATGATAAATACAAACATTTTGTATTAGTCTTATTTAAAAAAAAAACTAGTGAATGACGAATCGTTTCAAAACAGAAAAGAATTTAAATTATTCAAAAATAAATATATTTAAAATAATTTATGGATTTATCACGCATACCATTCGATGGTCAAGGTAAAAATCCCAAAATATGAACAATTTATTTCTATTTATTCATTCTTAATTTATTGTTCTAGCTAATTGTTACTGAAATACAATTTGTAGTTCTTTAATTTTTTTTGTTTAAGTTAAAGAAAACGAATAAGTAGTTTTTCTAAATAATTTAAAATTGTGTTATACGTGTTTATATTTTTATTAAACACAACGTGCATATAATAAATGTATTAAATGCAAATTCGAGCAAGGTTAATGGAGCACACATATGGTCAGAGTTTAACAAAAAAAAAATGACGATTTGCATTTTGTTACAAAATTAGCACGCACGCAATATTATATCATAATAAAATTGATAAAATAATATAAAACGTAATTTTAAAAAAAGAAATAGTATTATTTATTTAGCCCAAAAAAAATATTTGAAAAATAATTTAATATGTTGACGTAAATAGCATAACGTATGGACAGAATAACACAAACAATGACATATAGAGATGAATATTATAGATAGTGTAATTAGAGACAATAAACGAATAATTAGAGATGAAGTGTGTTAATAGAGACGAACGAAGTTAACAAATTTAAATATATTTTATATAAACTCTCCAATTGTGGCGGAAATAGCTCAGTCAGTAACATGCCCGACTCACACACCATTGATACTCGGTTCGAATCCTGACACTGGCATAGAATTGTCATTTGATTTTTTGGATGGAAATTAAGAAGAATAATGGTTGTTGTGAGAGAATAGAACTAGATGTTAGAGAGATACTCAGTTCGAGTATCTACAATTATTTACCCCCCCCCATCCCCCTTGTCAGCAAAAGTAAGCAAAGCTCTTACCCCCTATCCTCATGCGTACGTAAACATTTTGCAATTAATGTAAAAAAAATAAAAATACTACCTATGACGTAATCATCATCCAGACTCTCCTGCCCCCCATGTCAACCCAAAATAAGCAAATCAACAACCCCCCAGCCCCCCTATAGTGCTTACGAAATACTTGAACGGCCCCTAACGTTTTACATATCGTTTTTTGTTATTTGAAGGGAAGTTGCAATTTTATTATAAAAAAATTACAAAGACTGATTTTTTTTTTTTATTCAACAATATATTTACAACTGTCCTACTTAGACATTAAGTAAATCTTTTGGCAATTATATGTAAAAATGGCATCGATATATAAATAGTGAAAAATACACAGTTGCATTTTTCCTTTATAAGAAGTAATATAATGTGACACAAGTAATTACAAGCTAATTAAATCACTAAATATTTTCTTTTGAGTCTTCTGAGTCTTCGATCTTCTTGAGTCTTTTCTTTTGAGACTGAATTTAAACTTATATTTTTTGAAAACGCGGAACAATCCGGGACAAAGAATCAAAATCCGGGGAAAAATATTTCCCCGGATATTTCTTCAGAAATATCCGAGACGCAAACCGGGGAAATCCGGAATTATGGTCGCTTTATTAGTTAAAGCAAAAATAAGTGAAAGTAAAAGGTTTATTTCTGAAAAAATGTTGAAAACTTTACTTAAATAGCTACAATTCAATTATTTACCTACTTGTACCTGGAAACCTACCCTTATATAATCGTGTTTCAAGTTAAACACCTTCAACACCAAAACAAATGCATAAAAATCAATATACCACAAAAAACTCACCCTTTTATCGGCGTCTCCGCTGTTGATTTTCCCACTCATTTTTCTCGTCCGATTTCGAAGTCACAAAACCAATATTTTATATACAATTAAATACTTTCACACACTGCACTAATAATTATTTGATTCGATTCGATTAATTAATTATTATTATAATTATGATTGATTCGCCACTGTTAACAATTTGTTCTCACACCGACACAATTCATCGGACGGCATTTCGTACGCAACTGTTGCTCTGTATAATAATTAGAGAATTAATAATAATACGAAAAAATGTTACAATCTGTAAACAATAGTCGACACAATTTCGAAGCTATTGCATTTGCATTTGCATTTTTAAACATCCAAACCGAAACGACTGTTGAAATAGTTCACTAGTCATAAAATAAAGCGAAAAGTATTCCAAGCATGCTTTGGGTAATGGTAAAAATGCCCTTTAGGAGAATTAATTAGATGTTTAGAATCGTTACGATATTATATATATATATATATATATATATATATATATATATATATATTACGGTGGTCCTTAGTATGATCCTTAGTAGCTCAAAGAATTCTCTGAAAGTTTTAGCTCTTAATATTAACTTTAAGAAAGTCCAAAGCTTCTTATAAAAATAACATGGGTAAAATTCTATTTGTTTCTTAGAATTTTATAAATCAGCAATAAGTAAATCAAAATTTTGAGAATAACAACGTATTTGCTTATTTTGATCATAAATAAAAAAATTACAACAAAAATATGATATTTTTTATAAAATAAGTATTTACTTAGGAAAAAGAACCAAGAAACTTTCTTAAAATTAATATTTCAATATGCTAAAATATCTATATTAAGGACCACGCTAATATATATACATGTATATAAGAGCGGGTCGATAATAAATAATTATCAATTATTTTTAAAAAAAAATTCAATTTCTGATTGTAAGCTTTTGTTGTTTCAGTTTATATTTAGTTTTTCTGCTAATTTGTTTAATTTATTATTTTTACATGTTTTATTTTTTACATAATTTTCATCATGCTTTGTTTTTTTAACGTTTTTTAAAATTTTATATGTATATAAAAATGTTTTCACTTTCTGGGTGTTGCATTCGATATGAATTGCTGAATGATGACACGTATCAAGTATCGAAACGTATCAATAAAAATTTATTAATATTAATTTAATGCATATTTTAATTATCGCGCAAAAAATATTTTGAGCATTGTTTAATTTAAATTTTTATAATTGGGATAGAACATTATACGTGAGTGTGTAAAAAAGTATGTACAAGTGTGTAAAAAAGCGTGTAAAAGTGTGTACAGATGTGTAAAAATTGTGTACATTCGTGTAAAAAGTTTGTACAAATGTGTAAAAAGTGTGTACAAATATCTAAAAATTGTGTAAAAAGCGTCTAAGAGTGTGTAAAGTTAAATAAAAGTGTATAGAAGTTTTTAAAAGAGTAAAAAAGTGTGCAAAGGTATGCAGAAGTGTGCAAAAGGGCGAAGAAGTGTGTAAAGGTATTTATTTACTTATTCATAAGCAAGCCGTTATCAATAATAATAAATATTTTTTCAGGCTCTTAGTAAATATGTGTGAAAGTATGTAAGTGTGTTGAAGGGTGAAGAAGTATGTTAAGGGGTGTAGAAGTATATAAAAGTGTACAGAAGTGTGCAAAAGTGTGTGTACTTAAAATGTGCGAAAGTGTTGGTATAAATTGTAAATTAGTGTGCGTAATTGTCTGTAAAAATTTATTTGTTTAAGAAGTTTTTATGAAAATTTTAATAATTTCAAAAACATTCTATTGTTTTATCATGTACTTTGTCAATTAATTTTCGAGCAACCAATATATGAAATTTTAAAATATTGTTAGCTATTTAAGAATTTTACTCAAATTTTTCGTTGCTATAACAAAAATTAATGGGGTATTTATAAATACCCATATTGACGCCATCATTCTGTACCTGATCGTGTCAATAAATACTCCCCTAATGCTAATAAACCCCCATTCGTAGGGACGAAGGGCTAATTCATCAAAACGAGCCTTAACAACACAGGAATAAAAAAAATATCAAGAAAATGAATAAATAAATAAAATTGATAAATTTGAAAGAGAAAAAAAGGATATAACAAATTTTAGAAAATACTGTTAACCAAATTATGTTTATATTATAATAGTCATGGCTAATGTTTACAGAGACATCAAATTATTAACATTTTAATTTTCGAAAAGTGGACATGATTAAAACTTCTTCTAAATTTCAAATTTCAGAAAATTTGTATATATGCAAGTATGAGGGTATGTAAATATGGGTATAAAGATCATTCAATAATTTTATATTTCTCAGGGCCATTTTTTTTATATATTGTATGAATTATCTTTAGAAGTGTAAAAATAATTTTATTATATTTTTCGAATTATTTTTATATAATTATAGTAATGTTAAATTTGATTTGTTACCATTTTAATTTACATTGAATTCAGAATACTTTCAATTTCTTACAAGATTTTTGTTGAAGAAACTTTGAACATACAAATTATGTTTCGTATTTTTACAATTACAAACGATTGTTTTATATGCCCAGTAGATATAATAATAGATATTATCATTTCAGTCATACGATAGTAACAAAATATTACAAATTTACTAAAATTTACGTAATTTCGTAATCTATATTTGGCAATATACATTGAATACTAAAATATTAATGGAGAATCAAAGAAAATTTCATTTATTTCTAAAACTATAGATAATAAATAATTAAAATTGATTCATTACATTTTACTGGAGCGCCAAATTTAAATTTGAATTATCTTGAAAAATGAGAAAATTGTACGAAATTATATTGAAATTTGGTGCACATTTTGCTGGATATATCCAGCTGAAGCTAAATTAAAATTTTATTTACTATTGAACACAAGGTTTTGCATATTCACAAAGAAAAATTTAAACGTTTTTGAAAACAAATCATATAATTGTATTAATCGGAAATTATATTATTATTATTATCTTATTTCTAATATTGTTATTTTGTTATATTTATTATTTTTTGTCACGAATTGTTATTATTCTACTTCATCGTTTTTCTAGTAAAATTATCATTATTTGCGTATATTTTAATGATATCATTTTAATGAAAATACTATCCTCTATTTTATTTATATTTATGTTACTATTCACTTATATTACTAGATGTTATTATATTATTTTTATAAGAAATTTATATGAAATTATTTGTGGATTGAAAATATTATTTATAACAATCACTTGGTGTAAAACTGATACAAAAACAAAAACAACACTAACAATTTTGGTTAAATAAAAACTTCAAGCTTTTAATGTAAATTAGAACACTATCAATAAACACGTTTAACGTTTAAAAATGTATGACATTTAAGGATTAAAGTAAGTTTATACAATAGCCCTCACGTGCAAGTAACCCCTCCAAAAAAAACTTCACAAATTCATTTACCAACGACCATATTTCATTTACTATTATTCCATTACCCAGTCGAGCAAAAAAACACGTTCGATTCGCAAGACTTCTCGAGTAATACTGATTTTTATTATCTGCTGTCACATGATACCTGACGTACATGTACCTTGAGACGCTACCGGGCCAGAACACCTGTTAGTACACAAATTAAACACATTTTCTAAACTGCACAACACTAATAATGTCATTGTTTGTTTAAATATTGCAAAATTAAAGGTTTGATAGCAGACATTTGTTTATTTTGCGAATAAAAGTGCGGAAAGGACTCTGCTTTGACAGCTGTCAACTGTCACCTTGACGACGGCGCGAGGATAAGGGGATAAGGGTGCCATGGGCGCCATCTTGGAAGGGGAGGAAATTTGAAAAAATAAAATTGGGGAAGTTTGAAATGAAATATGAATATAAAATTGATTTTGATAAAATTGGAATAATAAATAAATATATTGCACTACTACTACTACAATAATTACATCCGATTCCCTTTTACGATTTGGCACGCATCCTGGAAGATATATCCATAGATAAATAAGCATTGGATATACCCAAAAAGAAATTCTTTAAAATATATCAATGTATCTTTGAAGCATTTTACGTATTTACTAGAATTCAAATATAATTTGTCAGTTGCTTTTTTGTTTGTTTACGTTTCGTTAAATAAATATGCATAATAATTTGCCCAAAGCGCCATTTTTTGCACAACGGCGGCAATGTGAAAAACTTACAACTTGCTGGAACTTCCCGTATCATAAATTGAAATTTTAAGAAAAGATTGAATTTTTTTTAGAACTCTGAAAAAATCGATTATTGAGATTTTTAAAATTTTTGAAAGAAATTGACTTTTGTGGACCATTAATCACGTGATCGACTTTTTAAGGTTTTTTGAACCCCCCCTCCCTCTTGGTCACACCTGGTATTATTCAAAATATCCTTCGCTCCGAAAAATGTTATCTAACAACTTTTTGAATCAACAAAGACTTTATTGTGTAATTATATATTAAATGTAAAGTGAGGCTATGAATGAAGGTTATGAGTGAAATAATTCTCAGAAGACTACCATTTTCAAAGAACTCTACAGGACGCAGCGCTTATGCTACAAACTTGTAATTCAGATATGTTATACTTCAAATTGACTATTATAAGATCAAATACTAAAATTGATGGGTTTTCTCACAAAATTTGGAATTAAAAAAGATTTAGATGTCTTATATGTAGAGTTGTATAGACGTATAGAGTTGTATCTATACTGTCTACTTATCTATGTGTAGACGATTAATCTATTAAAATTCTCGACTATTTTTTGAAAATTGGAATTTTTTTTTGAACAACTCACGTAAAAAATAAATACACGTGATATATTACTATATCCCCCTCCCCCACGTGATATTTCGTGATTTTTTGTGAAACCCGCCCCGCTCTCCCTCAAAACCTCACGTGATTAATGGAACGTCCCCTTTTTCAAAAATTTGATTTTTTTCATACTTTAAAATATTTTGGAAATTTTGAACATTTCACAAAGCAATTGCGATACGTTAGCCGTGTAGGAACAAAATATCGAAGTGCGCGGACTCAAACAAAATTTGTTCATATTATTAAAGAGTCTATAAAATATTTGATAATTTGATGAGCAAAATGTCTAGTGATCATTTTAGTCCGTCAATTGGCATTTTTTTCACTTTTTTATTGGATAAACAAAACCGCTGGACCTGCCTTGCAAAAAAAATCATCAGTTCTTCATTTCGTCAATTCAAATAAAATGTTTTTTTGAATTATTCTAATCGGACGCTCGGTTCTTTCAAAAACTGAATTACCGGTTTTGGCACTTTTTGTCCTGTATCTTCGAAACAGCTAGACCTGCCTTTGCCAAAAACTAATCAGCACATCTCCTTATCAGTAGGAATCGTGTGCTTTTTGAATGAATCAAATCGGTTAATCCGTGTTCTCGAAATCATCGACGAAAATTTGTATCCGCACACACGAACGCACACACATACATCATTTTTTTCTAAAGTATGCCAAAATGTTCAGAAACCTCTAAAACGTAAAGATATATGAAGATTTCCATTTTCGATTTTCTTGTGATTACTATAGAGTAAGTTCCCAAAGGGATACATTTGAATATTATAATATTTTAATATATATTATATTATATTATTAAATATTACACTTCTATCTTAATATAACAATTTTGACAAGCAATAATTGTATAATTTTGAAGTAAAACTTCTTTAGGCGCGACTAGGGAGTAAGTCTGTAAAAATGCAACGGAAGTTGCGTTACGCCTGAACTGTTCGTCATTCGCACTCGCCAGCGAAAAAGTAAAAAAAAATACAAGCAGTCAATTAATGTATGTTAATTTTATTTACATGAAGTTCTTTAAACACAATTACATGATGAATGTAATTGCGAAAACAATATTTATTTAGGCGTTGTTTCACATAACATAATTCACTGTGTGAACGAATATTATAACATTTTATAGCTTCATTTCTCTAATGAACATTTAAGTCCTAAATGCTAATTACAATGACAAACCGATCATGTCGTATTTGAAGTATGACTTTAAATACATTATTGTTTTTAAATATTATAAGTATTTTTAATGCATATTTAATGTACTTTTAATTATAATATTTAATTTTATTAAATATTATAAGTATATTTAATGAGCGTGAACCTTACGCGCACTTTTTTTTTAAATCAAGCGCGCTTTTTGTACGAAACATGTATACCAACGCAAAAATCTATCGTCACTTTGACAGTCAGCTGTCAAATTGGTAAAACAAATACAACTTTTAATTAATATTTTGTTTTAAAATACATTATCCTAAGCAATATAATGCATATTATATATAATGCGTTATTATTGATATAATACGTAACAAAATTTCTTTAAACTTGAAGCTGAATTTACCTTATTACCATGCGCCTGTCAATTTCTGTAGTTGACATTTGAAACTGCAGTTGTTTATTAAAGTTTCCTTGAACATTATGTAAATTAACAAATATGCATATCATTAGCGCATTAACTGTAATTATGGAGATATCTCTTATGTATAATGGTTAGAAATCAATAAGTAAAATGGAAGTTAATTCTTATGAAGCACCTCTAATAAACGATGCTCAAACATCTTTAAAATGTGAACACTGCGGGAAAACTTATACTCATAAGCAAACTTATAAACTGCATCTTAAAACACACACAGAAGACTGTCCGACTTGTGAAATATGTGGCAAAAGATTCCCAAGATTGTCCAATTTGAAAATCCACGCAAGCGTTCATACCACAGAATATCCTTACAAGTGTGATTTATGTGGTAAGATTTTTAAGCATGAAAAGTCGTTGGAAACTCATCGATCAAATCATCCCAAAGACCAAAAAGCATATACGTGTGAAATCTGTGGAATAATTTATAACGATCTCAACGTGTATCAAAAGCATATCCAAAATCACCCTAAAGAATGGCATATCTGTTCATATTGCGGCAAAACTTTCATTTCTCTATCAGCGCTTGAAGGACATACTGTGCGACACACACAAGAACGTAACTTCAAATGCGATCAATGCAACACAGCGTTCAAACATCAAAGTTCTTACAAAAATCACATGAAGAAACACATGGAACAACAAACATATCGATGCGAGGTCTGTGATGAACCCTTCACCCACAGCGGCTATCTGCGCAAACACAGATCCATACACAAATTTTGTGTGGTATGCAAAAAAACATTCTCTTCATACAAAGCTTTGCAAACGCATTTCAACATACATCGTGGTAAAAAGCCTTTTAAATGCCAAATTTGTGATAGAAGTTTTACAGAAAAGGCTACAAGAGATATTCATGCTATGACTCATACAGGAAATCGTCCCTTTAAGTGTAATATATGTAATAAGACATTTATTGTTTCTAAATATTTAAAAAGGCATGAAAGGGTGCATTCTGGGGAACGTCCTTTTAAATGCCATATTTGTGATAAGACTTACAGGGAGAGAGGAGTGCTGACGAGGCATCTCAAAAAACATAATAATTGATAGGACAAAACTTGTTTGAATTTGGTTTTATCTATTAAGGTTATTCAGTGACTCTATTATTTATTTGTTATATATATATATATAATTTTATATTATATGTTAGTTAAAATAAAATTGTACATTTTTTTACTACCAGAATCTTAAATTTCCTTTCCAGTTATTTTATGTATTTATCACATATTCATTTGAATTATTTGTAATGTATTCTAGCCATGTTACATTATTGTATTGCAAACAAAATCTCATCTGATTTGAATACTATATTATTTATTTTTTATAGAAATATTTCTAGAAATAAAATCTATATCAGAAGAGACTAAATTTATTATAATGTATTATAAGGTCTATGAATCCTTCCCATTGTAAATGTTAAAGACTTGGATATTATATTTCTCCATTTAAAAGACATAATAATTATATAATATGCGATAAATTATGAGTATAAAATAAAATTTTAATTAAATAAAACAATATAAGTAAACTATATATATGTAGGGTTAGAAAACTAATTCTAACCTAACTTATTTCTCTTTGCACATTATGAAATTTCACAATAACGTATTACATTTTTTATATATTATAATATTGTATGTCTGTCATTTGAATATAACGGCCAAGAGTGTCTATCCTGACGTGTATGTGCTCTATGGTGTGTCATATGTAGAGTGTCTGATCCCTTACGGAACAGAAGTATGTATCTGTGTGCGAGTCGGTGTCTGGCGGTAACTTGAGTGTTGAACAGTTCGGCGTTGTGTTAATTTGGTGAATTATTAAATGTGTTGTATGAAGTAAAAGGTGTTTTATTAATTAATTAATGCTAGAATAAAGCTAGCTTAAAGCTCAGAAGTGGGATTGGATCAAAACGTGGAGAATTTATTAGAGAACATTATTGGTGTGGATTATTGAAATAGGCGATTTCAGTAATCTTTTTTTGGAGTGCCCGTGTTATTAATCAGGCGGATTATAATTACGGGGTGCGATAGAAAGCAAGGTGTGCTTCGCTATCGTACAAGTGCGGGTGTTATTTTGTAAGTTTTGTAAGTTTTGTGTTTGTGTGTTGTGCTAAAGTGAGGTTAGCACGTGGGTAACCAAAATAAGAACAGAGTGGAGAGAAAATATCAAAAGCAGGGCGTAATATTGACGTTGGCGAGTCGCGGAGCTGCGATGTGTGTAATTAAAAAACTGGAGATTGCGGAAATAAAATAAGATTTGGTGAGATGGCTACTGGTGGTGATGCTGAGAGCTTGGTGCCCGAAGCCTTAAGAGTGCTATCGTTGACGGACTTGATTAATCTTATTAGGGCGACAACCAGTAATAAAAACGATAGCATCTCGAGCAGCGAGTGGTTGGCGACGATACCGATATTCGACGGGTCGTCTGAGCAATGCATCGAGGCGTGGTTTGAACGGGTTGAGGTTGAGACCGTCCGGGATGCATACGAGGTGCCTAAGAAAAAGATGGCGGTGCTGATAACATCGAAGCTGTCGGGGCGGGCGAGGCGATTATATGACAGCAAGGCAGAGTATGCGACATATTCATACGACGAGCTGAAGAGGGTGCTAACAGCGTTTTTCAAAAATGGAGAAGACAGGATGACTAGAATGAAGCGCTTTGAGTCTCGGAGGTGGCGAAAACAGGAACCGTTTAGCGCATACTTTCAGGAGAAGATGGCGCTAGGGAATAGGTTGGGTTTTATGGAGTCCGATCTACTGGCTTATATGATAGACGGCTTCGACAACCCGCCACTCCAGGCTCAAGCCAAGATGAGCCAATTTAAGGATTTAGCAACTCTGCTAGGTGTAATGAATGAGTTGACAGCGGAGGAACGCGGATGCAATATGATGCCGCCTACGAGGGTACAGCCAACAGTGTTTCCTAGAGTGGAAACACAAGGCACATATCCTACGGTGAGGTGTTTTAATTGTGGCGGAGTGGGACATATGGCGTCCAGGTGCATCAAACCGAAGAACGATGGAGTGGCGTGCTACGACTGTGGCTCAAAGGAGCATCAGCAGAGATTCTGCAAAAATGTCCGGAGTACGGCGCAGGTGGCACCTGACAGCACTACATTTCGAGTTAACGAAATATTGGCGATTGATGGTGAGATTACCACAGACGGAGCGAATATAAGTATATCAGATGAAAATGACTACGAAGTAGAAGACCTGGAGAGTGAAAAACCGGAGGACCAGAGACTGCATTCGAAATGCATGACTATGGAGTGATAGCGACAGCAGAAGATCTGGTAGAAAAGGAATATCTGGAGAGTGAAAACCGGAGGAACCAGAGACTGCATTCGAAATGCATGACTATGGAGTGATAGCGACAGCAGAAGATCTGGTAGAAAAGGAATATTTGGAGAGTGAAAAGCCGGAAGAAACAGATACTGCATTCGAAATGCATGGCTATGGAGCGATAGCGACGGCAGAAGATTTGGAGACTGAAAAAACGGAGGAGCCAGAGACTGCATTTGAAATGCATGGCTATGGGGTGGTCGCGACAGTAGGAGATCTGGTAAGAGAGGAATATTTGGAGACTGAAAAACGGGTGGTGCGCGATTCTTACCCCAGCCCAAGAATAGATGATTGCTTGGACTCACCGAAGTCTAAGAGGTATTTTACGAAGCTAGATCTGGAGAACGCTTTCTTTCATGTGGTGGTGGCTGAGACTAGTAGAAAATACACTAGCTTGGGGTGTGCACAGGGAGAATATGAATACAACCGTATGCCATTTGGGTATTGTAATAGCCCGAATGTATCTATGAGATATGTAAGTGACATTTTTCGTTGTTTTGTGATGAACTGTGAAGTTATAGTGTACATGAACGATTTACTAATGGCCACAGAAACAATTGAGGAGAATATTGAAGTGTTGCGTAGGGTGTTAGAGATGATTCGTAGAAATAAGCTAGAACTAAAATTAAATAAGTGTATAAAAATAATAGGCGTATAAGGACAATAAGTGATGGCGACAAAGTTGGTAGAGACAATAAGTGAATGAAATATGATTTATGTTGTAATGGTTTATGATTTATGTTGTAATGGTTTATGATTTATGTTGTAATGGTTTTATGATTTGTGTTGTAATATTAGATTTAGATTACTGTTGTATTAGATCTCATCAGTCGGGGACGCCTGTGAGGTCAGGATTGGCCGAACTATAATATTGTATGTCTGTCATTTGAATATAACGGCCAAGAGTGTCTATCCTGACGTGTATGTGCTCTATGGTGTGTCATATGTAGAGTGTCTGATCCCTTACGGAACAGAAGTATGTATCTGTGTGCGAGTCGGTGTCTGGCGGTAACTTGAGTGTTGAACAGTTCGGCGTTGTGTTAATTTGGTGAATTATTAAATGTGTTGTATGAAGTAAAAGGTGTTTTATTAATTAATTAATGCTAGAATAAAGCTAGCTTAAAATATATTATTTTTGTATCGTTTTAATAAAACTGCAACAATTAAATTAGAAGAAATGATTTAATAAAATAAAAATGTATAATATTATTTGAATTGACATTTTTGACAGTTTATCGTTAAATGTCAACGAGCTGTCAAAAGGATTTGTTTGGCCCTGAAGAAATTTATTTTTAGAACTGTCAAAATTTCGACGTTCTAAATAAATAATAAAAGTTTTATCTTATTAATTACATCATAGATAATATATACAATAATACAATTGCACAAAATGTAAATATAAATGTATCAATTTGATAAAAACTAATGGAGATAAAAAACATTTCATGAAGATGTAAGATATAAATAAAAAAATCTATGTCTTGTAAGTCTTAAATGTAATTCATTTGTATCAAGATATTAAAAACATAAAGTGCTCCAAATAGAAAAGAACATATTAATGTTAGAAGAAAAAATTATGTATTAAATTATATTGTATAAACATCTTATATGCAATTTATTAGTATCAATGGATTAAAATTTTATAACAAATGCTCCAAATGAATCTATTTTAAATTATATCACCTAAATCCTTATATTTTATTTATTTGTATTGAGAGATTAAAAAAAATCATTACAAAGCTCCAAATGTAAGAGTATATTATCATGTAAGAAATAAGGATACGAGCTCTCATTTGTAAATATAAAATTATTTTCAATGAAATAGACACACGGTCGTTCAACATATATTCATTTGTTTACTAGGACTGTTATTTATCAATAATGGATTCGATAATTATCCAAAACGACCCGACATTACAATCCTGTGTTGATGAACTCATCATAACAGATCCAGTAATTGTCGAAAATATCCAAACAATCGAACAATCAGACATCCAGTTACCCACAACCCAAGAAATTCCTTCTACTTCAGGACCACCTTACATCTGCAACATTTGCAACAGATCCTACAACCACAAACAAAACTACCGGCTCCATATGAGAACACACACCGGTAACTGCCCGACTTGTGAAATCTGTGGCCAGAAATTCCCCTAGACAATACAATTTAAAAATACACGCAAGCGTCCACATGTTGGAGACGTTTAAATGTGACTTATGTGGTAAAATGTTTAAACAAGAAGCGAATTTGCAAGCGCATATGACACAACATGCAAATGGTGAACAAAGTTACGTTTGTATCATATGCGGTATGGTGTTTAAAAATTCTGTGAACTACCAGAAGCATGTAGCAAACCATCCTAAGGAATGGCACAGGTGCCCTATATGCAAAAAGACTTTACCCACAGTTGCAGCTTTAGAACTGCATTCCATACGCCACACACAAGAACGTACTTATAAATGCACGGTTTGTGGCACAGCATTTAAACATAAAAGTTCACACAAATCACACATGAAAAAACATTTAGGCGAGACTTCATATAAATGCGAAATCTGTGAAAAAACATTCCCAAGAAGTGGCTTCTTGCGCAACCACAGAAGCATACACAAAAAGTGTATGATTTGCCAGAAAGTATTCGCTTCATATAAATCTTTACAAACACATTTGAAAACGCATAGTGGTAAGAAACCTTTTCAGTGTCATTTGTGCAATAAAAGTTTTACTGAAAAAGCTACCAGGGATATTCATGTGAAGACACATACGGGGGAGAGACCGTATCAGTGTAATATTTGTAGTAAGAGATTTGTGGCTGTTAAATATTTGAAACCGCACATGAGAGTGCATACGGGGGAGCGACCTTTTAAATGTGATTTATGTGGAAAGGCTTACATGGATAAAAGTACTTATAAATCGCATTATATGAGGAATCATGGTAACAATCAATGATAATTGTCGTAGGGACTTAATTAGAAATTATATGAAAAAAAAACTATATTTTAATAATATAATAGTTTTGTAAAACTGCTGTTTTGTGCTCAAGCATGTTAGCATTTAATATTTCATTGTGAAATGTTTTGCAAGTTAAAAGATAATTATCTATTATTTCTGTGAAATTTATATTAAATATTTAATATAAAAAATATATATCAATTTTTTAATATTTTGTTCTCCCACCACACTTAATCAATTCAAAATTATTATTAATGTCAATTATCATGTATATTATAAATTAAGTTTTTATAAAATATATTCTTGTTAATATTTGAACTGTTTTTTTTATTAATATAATAAAGGCAACACAGTATAATTCAAAATTACATATACTATTATTATCGATATTTCCTTATTATGTATGATTTGTAACTTAATACAAAAATAAATCATAGTAATTAAATATTTGATTAAATTGTATATCAAAATATAGTTTTGGCACTATTTATGCGTCAAGATAATAAATTTATATGCTAATTAGTAATATAAAAAATAGATTTGAAGGTTTTTGCATTTGAGTAAAATATAATAAATCAAACCAAAATCATCTCTCATATTTAATTAAATTTTAATATTTTGTATTCACTTCACCGTGACATTGACATTGTGACATTGCAATGTAGGATTTAGGTTTTTGTAAATATATGATATATTTACAAATCAAATCAAAAATGTATTAAATGTATTAATTAGAAATCCAACAAGAAGTAATTTCACGTTATAAATATGTGAGCTGTTGAATTTCTAGACGATGATTTTTACTAACCAACAATTACAAAACCGTGCTTAAATTTGTCACCAGTAAATATATATGTTCATGCTAAATGAAAGCATGCCATATGATATAAAAAACAAAAGAAATCTAATAAAAAATTATCACAAATTGATTCAATTAATACAATACATTAAACTTTTGAATATATTGTAAATACAAATACAATTTGTAGTTATATTAAAACTTAACACATTTGCATTTGAAGTGTTTAAAACAAGCATTGGTCTTTCCAAAAATCAAACCAAACAAACAATATATTGAAACATTGATTAGTTTTAATTAATTTTTGCATGATTATTTGTAGATAAAAATATATCTTACTCAAATTCAAAATCTGTTCAAATAAACCTAATCTAACCTGACCTAACATAAAATTTTAATAATAAAAAAAATATAAAACTTCTGCAGATATGCACTTTATAAAAGCGTACTTACATTTACAACCAGTAACTATTCTGAGGCATTATTGGTTTTGCTTAATTTTGAATAAAAATAAAACTATTTAAATACTAATCACTTACTTGAACAAATCAACTGTCAAAAATGTCGTTTATCCTTCCTTCACAAAGAACCATTATAATACCTTTTCTGAGTGTCATTACGATTTACACGACAACTATTGCAATATATAATATTACTAATAATAAACTAGAATCTATTTTCTTATAAATATGTATAAAATATCACCACGAACGCTCAAATTGATTTGATGAGATCTCGTTTTGACTTCGAAGGTACTGTGGTCACGTGACATGTTGCCAAGTTCGTTGTGGTTTGGCTGATTGCACCTTGAAGTTTGGCATTTGTAGTCGTTGTGCGATTCTAAATAATAATAATAATAATAATAATAATAAATAGTTGAATTTTGAATCGAGTTATTAGTTATATTTGATTTATAGATATGACTACAAATACAAATATTTGCAACGGTTACAAAGGTTTTTTTTCGAGCTGTCAAATGACAGTTACGCGTTCAGTGCGTTCAGTGAAGCAACATGAAGATAGCAACGTGCTCCTTATTTGACATTTCGGTTTCAATTAAATTTAATTTTTAAAATTTATATTGTATGTGAAATAAACTAGGTGTAAAGAGCATAAGCTTTTTGATATGTGTAGATAATCAAGACTTAATCAACAAGAAATCAATATATTAAATAATGAGTGACTTCTAAGTATACACCGAATTGTGTTTAATATCAACTTTTGATTACATATGTGAGGACTTATAATATTTATACTAATACTATACAGCGAGAACAGTTCTACAAGATCATTACCTAAATTAGATTTAGGCTCATTCAGGCAGACAATTTCTATTAAAGAAAGTGGTCAGAAACATTTCAATTTTGCAGAAATTTTGCTCTTGACGACCAATAAAATATGGTGAGTTATTTTTTGGTATCATAATATAAATATGGAATCATTATATATTATATATACTATTACTATTATATGTTTCATTTTCAACACTCATTATCTTCAAATATTTAAGTTATTATATTGTTCGGTAACTTTCAAAATACTTCAATCTTCAATATTTGTAAAATAAATTAATATAAATGAATATTGGTTCTTTGTTCAGTTCAAAAAACTTTGTTCGTTACTTTTAGATTCATATAAAACATAATGTTCAAATAGTTTTATATATCATTGCAAATTTGAAATATGACTTTCTTTAATAAAAACGAATCATATATCTAATTTATGTTGTCTTCGTATATGAGTATAACTATTTGACAGATTGTACTTAAAATCTTTTAGCAATAAATCTAACGAATCATTTGTTTTTAATCTTTGTATTACCTTATCTGTCTCCAATGTTTCCAATTCGCACAATAATTCATCCATTGCTTGCAAAAGTTCAAAACAATTTTGTTCGGTGAATACCATTGGAGGTTTCACTTTTATGACATTGCCATCGGGTCCATCAGTACTCAGAAGCATGTGATTCTTTTCTCGAATCCTAGAAATTAAAACAGAATAAAAATAAAAATAATATTTACTTAATAGTAAAAGTAATACTACAACAATTTCATAAAACAAAAAATAGAAAAAATAAAAATTATATTTACTTATTAATAAAGGTAATGCTACAACACTGCTCGTCAACTATGTAATAGAAAAATTCCATGGTGTATTTAATTAGTATAAATAAAACCAGAAGCTGCTGGTAAATTTATAATGAATTATTCAGAAGATTAGATTATTATTATGTATTATTGCTAAATAATTTTCTATTTATTGCTAAATAATAAAAAATCAATTTCAAAGTCGTTTTATTCAAAATATTTCTATCGGAGTGTATATATGAAATTGTGAGGAATGGAATGGTATTGAATTTCATCTAGTTCCACCTTATTTAACTAAAAAAGGGGTGCTTTCATATAAAATTTGTGAGTTATTTGACTAAAACCAAAAAATGTCCCAAATTTTCTACTCATTGATGAAAAATTAAATATCAAACTCAAAGTCGTTTTATTCAAAACTTTCATATAGGGGTGTATATAACTGTTGGCATGATATCGTAGCACATTTTATCTAGTTTCACCTTATCTAATTGAAAAGGGGTGCTTTCATATAAAATTTGTGAGTTATTTGACTAAAACCAAAAAAATGTCCCGAATTTTCAATTTATTGCTAAATAATGAAAAATCAAATTCAAAGTCGTTTATTTTACCTGCTTACAATCCATTTAGCTTTTTCACTAGCTGGTACCTTTGTAACTCTATCTTCAACCATTTCATATCCTGAAAACAAACAAAATTAATTATCAATTTAGATTTAATATAATTTCGTTACAGTGATTTTGATAACACAAGGCATTGTCGATTTTACATGAGTTTTTCACTAATTGTAATATACTCCTACTTAATATTTTTCCAGCAATTACTGATTATAAGCACATTAAAAAAAGTATCAGTGACTTTGATAAAAAAAGGTGTCTTTAAAATTTTTTTATCAAAGAATGAAATATTACAATGCTGAATTATTATTTTTTTTTACTTACCTACAAAAAGTCCTTCACCCCTGACATCACCAATAAGTGGATGCCTTTGCATAAGTTTTTCTCCGCCTTGTATTAAAATTTCACCAAGTTTCTTTGCATGGGATAAAACATCAGTTTCTTCCAAAACGTCCAGAACTGCATTGGCAATGGCACAGGAAACAGGATTTCCTCCATACTATAAAATAGAAGTATACATAAATAAAATTAATTATTCTCATCGAGTATATCAAAATTTTCAATTTTGAAGATCTGGTTGCTTACCGTGTTGAAATATCCCACTCCTGTGTCTTGGAAACTTTTTGCGATTTCTTGAGTTACGACGACTGCGGCAACAGGATGACCATTGCCCATTGGTTTGCCCATTGTGACAATGTCAGGACAAACACTTGACTAAAAGAAAAAAACATAGAATTTAACGCATATCCAATAATTATGTTTAGGTAACGTAAACTAAACAACAGTGCTCAAAGCCAGAAAAACTAAACAAAACAAAAATGTTAGTCATACAATTGACAATGTGGTTATATATTTCGGAACCGCAAAGTAGCCTGGATAATAAGGCGATGGCCTTACACATTTTTGCCCTCTACTTTAAAATAGCATTGTCAAACAATACCATGCTTTACTTATTTCTGAGATATTGGTGATAGATCTTTTTAAATTCAGTATTTCAAGCCTGATTTAAGGCAATAGCATGTTTCACATTTTTGCCCTCTACTTTAAAATAGTGTTGTCAAATAATACCATGGTTCACTTATTTCTGAGATATTGGTGATATATCTTATTAAATTCGGTATTTCAAGCCTGATTTGAGGCAATAGCCGGTTACAAATTTTTGCCCTCTACTTTAAAATAGCATTGTCAAACAATACTATGCTTTACTTGTTTCAGAGATATTGATAATAGACTTTTTCGAGCCTTTTAGCTTTTCACAAAATATAAGTCGTTATGTATATTAAATTTGTTTATATATTTTTCACTTTTAGAAAAATGTTTTGTTTATATATTTTGGCATACATTAGAAAAAAATGATATGCGTGTGTATGTATGTGTGGATACAATTTTTCGTGAACGTTTTCGGGAGCACGGGCTAACCGATTTGAATGATTTAAAAATCACTCGATTCCTATTGATGGGGAGACAAGTTGATCAGTCTTTTGGCAAAAGCAGGTCCAGCCGTTTCGGAGATGTGAAATAAATTCAGTTTTTGAGAGAACTGAGCATCCGATTTGATTGATTTAAAAAACATTTAACTTGTATTGACGTAATGAAGAATTGATTAGATTTTTGCAAAGGCATGTCCAGCGGTTTTGGAGATCCATAAAGAGAGAATTAAAAATGACAATTAAAGGTCAAGAATGAAGTATTTTCGACAGTATAGACCAGCCTTTCTCAAAGTGGGCGATTGCAATATCCAGGGGGGCGATAAGAGGTTCCTAACAATTTTTTTTTACATGTATACACTGATTTAAGTAGCGTTTTATTTGCTCTCACTGGTAAATTTTTTCTAATTTAGAATGTAAGGTTACATGAACCAATATTAGACACTAGAACTATATTAATTAAATTCAAAAAAAAGTTTTTTAGAGATTATATGGGTATAAAAAATTTGGTAGGGGGGCGCTACAAAAATTTTGATCTTCAAAGGGGACGTTGGAAAAAATTAGTTTAAGAAACGCTGTTATAGACCAACCGACAAAAATTGTTATCAAATATACATTTCGAAATTTTCCAAAATAAAAGAAAGAAATTTCTTTCGTAAAAATATTCAAGTTTTCAATATTTACAAAAGAAATTTTTTTCAATTTTTCAATATTTTCAAAATAAATCTAATTTTTTTCATCTGAGAATTCAGACATGTTCAATTACGGTACGAGAAGTTCCAGAAATAAGCACTGGTTTTACCTTATCTGAGGAATTTGTTTGATGCTCAAACGCCCACCATTTGCCAGTTCGTCCAAAACCGACCTGGACTTCATCAGCCACGCAAACACCACCTGCAGCACGAACGTGCCTAAAAAAATCGAAACAATTTGATAAAATAACAATAATAAGATAAAAATATTATATTCTTTAAAATTTCCTTTCTACTTACTTATAAGCCGTCTCAAGATAACCAGGAGGAAGCACGACCTGTCCTCCGCAACTGATCAAACTCTCGGCAAAGAAAGCGCACACTCCCTCGCCTTTTTTAGGAGCAACTTTTGCTTCACCCATTAGTGTATCCATTGGAGACTTTATTTTTACTATCAGTTGTACCTCTCAATTTTTCGCAAACTTCTTCGCAAATTTGGCCAACGCTGTCTCCGTACATTTTACCAAGATCGGAGCCCTCGGGCAGGTCGCTCTTGCGGTAGATGCCGCGATACACATCAGGACATGGCGCCTGGTAAAAGAAATAGTAGTAATACATTTTTGATTTGGAACAAAAACTTGTATAATTTTTTTTTTATAAATGTGAATTTTTCCCTTACCACGTGCACGTGATCAGGTTTGGGCGGAGCGCCTGGCAAATCGAACTTGTACGGTGACATGTCAATGGTGCTGGTCAGGTGTCCATGGTAAGCGCTGCAATTTGGCAATCACATATGACATCTTGGCTCTGACACATGCACACACGCATTCACACAAACGGTTAAACATAATTATTTACACAAATCGAGAACAAAATAAATTTTTATGGTAATTTGTTAAAACAAAATGCGCCCGACATGTTGCAGTTTATACCATCTTCAAAGTAGTTGTTTGGTTTTAGAAAATGAGTATCTTGTTAACATAAATAGACGAACTGTTCTGGAAATTTAATATTGTCAACTTAATTTAAATAAATCTATTTTAAATTACTATTTTTTTCAAATTAAAGGCAATGTCTGTTCTCTCTATAATTCTTACTAAGTTTTAAAATAATTTTTAATATCGTCTTAATCAGTAAACCACAAAATTTTCAAATATGTAACAAAGAAAAAACTTTCAGATTGCTCAAAGTTGCGTTAATGAAACGAAATTTTTACTTATTACTTCCTTTTTGGTAGTAACGTAGCAGCTACGTCACATGTGTGTCATAGATTTATCAAACAATATGGCGACTGACAGTTTTAGGCAACAATATTTAATTTGAGTTTTGTTAACTTTATATATGTATTATACTATTTATTTTTAATTGCAAATTGTGTTTTTGTTTATTTAAGCATTTACTTATTGATTTTATAATAAGTCTATCATTAGATTCATAAATAATTTAAAGAATAATTAAAATAGTATCTCTCAAAAAAGTAAGTGTAATCTTATTGTTGATTTTTGTATTAAATTAAATTATAAATTATTTTGTAATTAAATTAATGGATAATTTAATTCAATTAACAATTTATACATTAATTTAATTGTAAGCTTATTTTATGATTTTCTTAGTACATTTGTAACAAAATTTAATTTTAATTTATTTTAACTATTTTTAATGGAATTTTAAAAATTTTGTAATTGTATTATGTAAAATTTTGTAAATTTTGAAAGAAAATACTAACTATATTATTTTATAAAAATAAAATTAAAATCTTCATGATTATGATCGCCAGTAGAAATGTCCAATTTCAAGAAAAATATTTAGCTTATATTTAAAATTATTATTGGGGCCTTATTTAAAAATATTATTTAGTACAATCAAAACAATTATTATTACTTATATTTAGTGCAAAATAGCGAAACGTCTGTGTTTCCTTCAGGTTACGTTGCTGCCACGTGCAACGTTGTTACGTAATATTTATGGTTTTGTTACGTTTTGTGGTTTACGGAGTATGTTATAAATGCTGATTAAATTAATTTCACAATTTAGATTCAACGCACAAGAAACTCATTTACCAAAATTTGAAATAAAATTAATTTCAACGATTTATTTAAGCACACCACGCACATATAAACTTTCCGTATCAACTTTCAAATAACAACCCTTGATTTTCAATTTTACAAACTTTCACCAAATTTAAAACCTGACTCACTGAATCATCCAGACAATTTTTTTAGGTCATTTTCAAACTCAACGATAAAACATTGTCACGGATAATAGAAAAAAATATATTTGTAACAGTAGATCCGTATCGTTGTCCTATCGGCAAGTATGAAAAAAATCTTGAGCTAAAAAAATATGTGCATCTGAAAAAAGGGTTATTAACAATAAAAATGTTAAACAAAAGTTCGGTCCTGTCATCGCAGACAATCTGAAAATCTTGTGCCTAGATGCTGTAAAAACACAAATATAAGTCTGAAAATAATAATGGAGGATTGAAAAAAATCCCTGTTCTGAAATAAATAAAAATATAGAACATACTGGACTGGTGCTCAAATGCTGCATGCTTAAATAAATCGCTATCCACGTCCAAAAATTGTAAAAAAAATTGTTAGATGGTATAAAACCGCGTTGTTATCACATCATTCATTCTCTCAATTTCAAAAATACAAAATTTTGATTGATGATTGATGAGCAAGAACTCTAAGGATACTAACAATCCATCAGTTCCTTACAGTTCCTGGTGATACATACATAATGATACAAAAAAGTTTAAATTATCAATATATCTTCTTATCGTCTTCTTGCATTTTGGGGGTCCTTCTTCCAATTTTTGCAATGTTAAAAAAATAAAAATTCTTAACACGTGACAGATGGCGATTGCACTTGGAACAGAACCATCTGTCTGATTTGATTTTAAAGGTGATTTTTCGTTTTTGGTATAAAGATATTCACCTTTTTTACAAGCTGAAACAAAGAATTAGAAAAAAGCCATTAGTAATGATTGTGAATAATTTTTTGCTGTAAAATTAACTTAGGAACTAAATGGGTAAATGATATTGGCATGCCTTAGGGGTAAAAAGATTTATGCTGTGCATCATTTACACCACACATTCAGATTTGAGATAAAAAAATATAACGATTTTTATAACTATTTAAAGCCTGTTGTTTTTTAACCAGTCAGATTTAGTTACTTTGTTCTACGAACTGTCGTGATGATATTAATTTTGTAAGTGGCAACCCGTTGGTTGTCCTGTCTAGTTAACTTCCCGAAAGAAAAAGTACATGTTTTCGTCAGAAAATCCGATTTGCTAATTTTATGTTTTCTCGACGTTTCAAGCAATTCTGAACAGTTTGAGACCAAATTTGGAAAAGTATGTGTGTGTGTGTAGTGTAACCTGATTTTTTGGCCTTTCATAGACGTTATTTTTTTATTGAGCAAAATTGTGGAAGTCTTTTAGATACGTATCTTAGAATAGTCATAGATATATATTTACAAAAAGTATTAGTTATTTTAGCGATAATGATCTTCTAATAGCCATTATTACATATATTTAGCACCCGGTGATAACATCTTATAGTTTAAGATCATAAGCCAATGACTTGACTCAATGTCATCAAAGGTCTTCTAATTTAATGAACGAATCGTGTTTCTTAAACTGCACTTTGAAATAAATTATAATAGAAAATATAATTAATTTATTATTAAATAACGCTCTTATTTTTATACAAAATGCCATATGCCAACAAGCAAGTCTAAGGATTTTATATTTATAGTTTGTTACCAAAGGCTAATTTCAATTCAAATCATATTTAAAACTATATTTTCAAGTAAACATTATTACTGCTTGATATCACAATGTCCGAGGCAATGATATAATCAGAAAACTACTAATTTAAATTACCAAAACAAATAAATAGATCGCAAACACGCCCGCTTTGCTATTACTTCAATTTTAATAGTTTTCGCTGTCCATAGAGTGCGCCACCAACTGTAGTACGTAAAATCACCTCTAGGTTTAGTTCCAGATACGATTTAATCGAATATATAATATAGAAAAGATAAACTTAAATAATTAACACAAAAACATATAATGAAAAAAAAAATTAAACGTTTAAAATACATGCATCATAATAAGAGAAACAGTTCGTTAAAAAAATTGAAGAAATTGAGCACAGTAGACCCTCTGTTGAGTGCGGTCAATACTAAAACATAGTAAAGCACATTTGTTTTGTATTTAATTCCCATGTCAAATATAAACTTATTAGTTATGTAATCTAAAGGTTCTTATATGAGGTTCTTACTAATGTAAGTAAAATAATTGTAATAAAAATGTTATTTGCTTGCAACACCTTCAAAATTTACTAGCACCGAGTATAACAATTTTAATAAATATCTTTTTAGTTAATAAATTTTTTCTTAAGGGATATTATGTAATTTCTTGATTGCCATATACTAGGAAAAAGTTTTACTATTTTACTATAAACATATTAAATTTCTTGAAAATAAGCAAAGTGTAAATTATCAGAAGTATTTTCGTCGTTACAATTAGCCCTAAATACGAGATAAGTTGTAGCACCGCATTTTTTCTAGGAAATGTTAAATTGTAAAATAATGAACAGTAATTATGGAATTATTTTTATTTGATTCGGTAGAGGAATAGTTACAGCATCTATCCATCTTTATTTCTTGGAAATATTTTTAAGTGGATTTTAAAATATATTATTTAAAAGAAAAAACGTTACAACAAGCCCCTAGCTTCCCCACACTATTTCAAAGTAAAAAAGATCTAGACCAAGACCAAGAAATTCTAATTAAAAATTTAAAGGTAGTAAAATATAATTGTAGATCGGTGTGCTCTAACTAATATAATAAAAATGATATTTTTTGGGTTATTTTTTATTCCAAAAATAACGTTTTAGAAGCACATTGCTCTCGAATCTATAAGTGAATTCTCATGGCCATGGTAGATATTCGTATTACAGAAACTAGAACGCGATTAAATTACATAATTACATAAACTTAGCATAAAAATTCAAAGGTGTCAATTGCGAGCACGTGGCAATTAACATATTCAATTTTTTAATTTAAATTTATTAAATAAATATTGCGCAATACAACTACTTCCTCAATTGAAAATCCTCAATGAGTAAAAATCAATCAGTGGTAAATAATAATGGAAATTAAATTATAGATATATTATAAATAATATATTTGTAAATTTTTTTAGATT